TCTTCTGCAAGAACAACCAGTGTTCTTAACCACTGAGCCATCTCTCCAGCCCCCCCACCCCAATAATAATAACATATATTTTTTAAAAAAGAAACAATGCTGTTCTCATAGCTGGGCACTCTGGAGGAAGGGACAGAGGATGTCTGTGAAAGGGAGACCCTCTCTCAAAAAGGCAAAAAAAAGCCCTCCAAGATATTTTATTTTGGGGAGGGGGTCTTTTTGAGACAGGGTCTCCTTGTAGCCATAGGCTGGCCTGGAACTATGTAGACCATGCTGGCCTAGATCACAGAAATCTGCCTGCCTGCCTCTGCCTCCCAAGTGCTGGGATTAAAGACGTGCACCACCATACTTGGCTTAATATTTATTATTATGTGCATGAGTGTCTTGCTTGATGTGTGAAGTTAGCCTATCTCATGCAGTGTCCTCAGAGGTCAGAAGAGGGAGTCAGATCCCCTGGAACTGGAGTTACAGATGGCTGTCAGCAACCATATGGGAGATGGGAACAGAACCAGGTCCTCTGCAAGAATAGCCAGTGCTCTTAACTGCTGAGCCAACTCTCCAGCCCCATTTTGTGACTTTTAAGGACTTACTTTTATTTATGTGTGTCTATATGCCACATGTGTGCAGGTGCCCACAGAAGTCAGAAGAATGCACTGGCTCTCCTAGTCCAAAGAGTTACAGGAGGCTGAGTGTCACAGGAGATGGGTGCTGGGAACTGAACTCAAGTCTTTTGGAGGAACAAGCACTCTTTTTTTATTTTTTGGTCTTTTTGAAGCAGGGTCTCCCTGTAGCCCCAGCTGTCCTGGAACTCACTATGTAGACCAGGCTGGCCTTGATCTCACAGAGATCCGCCTGCCTCTGCCTCCCAAGTGCTGGGACTACAGGCGTGCGCCACCATGCCCAGCTAACTTTTTTTTTTTTTAATTTTTTAATTTTTTGTGTGTATGCATGTATTGCCTGCATGTAGGTAAGTGCACCTGTGTTGTGCAATGCCCGTGGAGGTCAGAAGAGGCTGTCAGATCCCCTGGGACTGGAGTTATAGACAGTTGTTAGCTGCCATGTGGGTGCTGGGATTTGAACCTGGGTCTTCTGCAAGAACAACCAGTGTTCTTCACCAATGAGCCATCTTTCCAGCCCCTGGAACAAGCACTCTTAACCACTGAACAATCTCTCTAGTCCCATTTTTCTTTTCTGGCTTTTAGATTCCAGCTCCACATCTAATATATCCCACACTCCCAAATGCCAAAAGATTTTTACTGATGCATCTCCTTCCTCTTCCATTCAGGTTCAGGTTGTGCAGATGAACCTGGACCAATGAATGAAGAACAGCCAAGCTCTCTGGGACAAAAGGGAGGCCATCTTGGGGCTGGAGACATGGCTCAGCAGTTAAGAGCACTGACTGCTCTTGCAGAGGACCCGGGCTTAATTTCCAACACCCACATGGTGGCTACGAACAGTCCTTAACTCCAGTTCCAGGGGAATTTGAAGCCCTCTTCTGACCTCCGCACAACATGGGTGCACTCGCATGCAGACAATACACTCATACACATAAAATAAAAATAAATTTTAAAAAAAAATTTCTTTTCTTTTGGTCTTTTTGAGACAGGGTCTCCCTGTAGCCCCAGCTGTCCTGGAACTCACTATGTAGACCAGGCTGGCCTTGAACTCACAGAGATCCACCTGCCTCTGCCTCCCGAGTGCTGGGATTAAAGGCGTGCACCACCATGTCTGGCTAAAAAAAAATTTTTTAATAAGGGAGGCCATCTTGACAATGTGTGCCTTTATTCTTGAGATATGCAGTCCTCTGATCAGAAGTAAAGTTTGCCCTGCTAAGACACTTTCAGTTGGGTGGTGGTCTCTTTCTTTGTGACCCCTAATTTATTTTTAACAAGTGGATCTGGGTTTAGTTCCCAGAATCTACAATCAGGTGGCTCGCGGGTTAACCCCAGTTCCAGGGGGTCTGACGCCTTCTGGCCTCCTCAGGTGCAGGCACCTGCACACATGTGGTACTCATACAGACAAGGTGTATATACATATACATAAATGAAGATAAATACAATTTGGCCAGACATGGTGGCACAGGTTTTTAAATCCCAACACTCATGAAGTAGAGCAGGCAAAACTCAGAGCTCAAAAGAGGCTAACCAGGGCTACAGTGATACCCTGTCTCAAAATAAAGAAGCTGGGGCTACAGGGAGGCCCCCTCTCAAAATAATGAATAAGCTGGAGCTACAGGGAGACCCTGTCTCAAAAAAAGACCCCCCCCAATTTTTTTATTTTATTTTTGGTCTTTTTGAGACAGGGTCTCCCTGTAGCCCCAGCTGTCCTGGAACTCACTATGTAGACCAGGTTGGCCTTGATCTCACAGAGAATCCACCTGCCTCTGCCTCCCAGAGTGCTGGGATTAGGGGCATGTGCCACCATGCCCGGCATAAAAAAATTTTTTAAATTTAAGATCAGGCCAGGTGAGATGGCACACACCTTCAATCCCAGCACTCAGGAGATAGAGGTAGAAACATTTCTGTGAGTTTGAGGTCAGCCTGGTCTACAGTTCCAGGTCAGCCAGAGATATAGTGAGACCTTGTCTCAAAAAAACAAAAACCTTAAAAATAGACATTTCTCCAAAGAAAACATATGAATGGCCAATAAGCACATGAAAAAGATATTCACACTGTTCGTCATCAGGGAAATGCAAATCAGAACCACACACAAGTGTGAAGATGAAGGAACTGAAATCTTCATACATCCCTTTTGAGTCACTTTGGAAAAGAACTTAACACTTCCTCAAAATGTTAAGGAGAATTACCACATGACCCAACAATTCCGCTCCCACATGCACACCCAAGAGCAGACAGTATACACACATGTCGTGAGAGCATTATTCATGACAGGCAAAAAGAAGAAACAATCTGAGTCTATCAACTGGGACAGATACATATACTCAATAGAATATTAGAAAAACAGAAAACGACCAACAAGAACACGTAGATAGATGACCAAGTCATCAGTCTTAGGAAAATGCAAACCAAAATAGGAAAAGTGGGGCTGAGGGTGTACCTAGGCAGTACAGTGCTTTATCATCTGTAAGGCTCTGTCTGGCTCTACCCAGAACCAGAGGAAGTAAACACAAGGGGTACATATCCTTCACCCCCACTGGGGCAGGCTGGGAGGGTAACTCACCTAGCTCAGTAGTGCTTTCCAGGCATGCACAAGGCCCTGGGTTAGATCTCCAGCACCAACAAAACAATGGCACAAGCCTGTAGTCCCCTCACTCCCATAATCTCAACCTTCCAACAGTCCCAGTATTTGCTAGCAGGATTGCAAATTCCAAGCAAGTGTGGGTTACAGAGAGTCAGTCACCTGGCCCTCAAAAAACAAAAAGAAAAAAAAACTAGCCCAGATAACAGTGAGACTCTGTCTTAAAAAGTAGAAAGAAGCCAGGCGTGGTGGCACGCCTGGCAGGTGGATCTCTGTGAGTTCAAGGCCAGCCTGGTCTACATAGTGAGTTCCAGGACAGCTGGGGCTACAGGGAGACCCTGTCTCAAAAAGACAAAAAAAAAAAGTAGAAAGAGGGGCTGGAGAGATTGCTCCATAGTTCAGAGCACTTCCTGCTCTTCCGGAGGAGGAAGTTGGTTCTCTCCTTCCACTACGTGGGTTCTGGGGCTTAAACTCAGGTCATCAGGCTGCTTGGGAGACATCTTTACCCACTATGACATCTCACTAGCCCTTCTTTTTACTTTTTATTTAAAGGTTTTTTTTGGGGGGACGGGATCTTTGAGACAGGGTCTCCCCGTAGCCCCAGTTGGCCTGGAACTCTTTATATAGACAGGCTGGCCTCACAGAAATCTGCCTTCTCTGCCTCCCAGGTGCAGGATTAACACAATGCCCAGTTTGAGTGTACACTTAAATGGAGTGAATATCTCAATAAAGTTGTTCCCATTACCTTGTATACAGATTTCTATCATTCCAGAACCTTCAGTGGGAAGTCCAATTTGCACTCCTAGTGAGCAGATAACTAGAGCCTAGAATTATTCATCTACTTTACCTATGGAGGCTTTCTAACCTCCTTTACTTCTCAAAGGAGGCAGCTCCAAGGCCAGGCACCATTGCGCCTTCTTCCAAATCTCCCGGGGGAAATGTAAAAACTCCAAAAAAGCGTTTTACTTAGCGCCTGCTGAAAGGCGGCTTCTCAGCATGCCTAGCTCAATTAAATCAATTCACAGCACTCGGGAGCAAAAACTGTTAGTCCCCGCGTTACAATGCGGGTAAAGGGAAACCAACCTGCAAGTCTAAGGCTTCAATCTAAAGATAAGGGTGAAGGGATACGCAGAAGGGAACAAAACTTGCACAGCTGAAACACTGTTACTCGGAAAAAAAGTGGAGTTAGGCTGACCCCAAAAAGAAAAGAGATCAGAAGGAAGGTCAAGGAAGGTGGAGAGTACCGATGACGTAGGCTAACCAAAGGTTTTTCTAAAACCGCAATGATATTAGGACTACAGGCCTTCAGCGTGCAAGGAAATAAGAGACCACGGCCGTAGGCAGGTTCCTCTTCTGTAAATGAGAAGGTAGATGCTAAGAGAGACGGACCTCCAACCCAGCCTAGGCTCTCCGCCCTGAAAACCATCTCTACCGCCATCTTCTGGATGAGCGCCCAGCAGCCTCTCCAAAGGGCTCGCAGCTGCATGACGCAAGGGGCCGCGTTTCCCGGGCGGCGCAGACCCGGCAGGGAGGCACCTGCACGGAGCCCCGGGAAGGCTCGCCGTGCATCGCCCTGCTGCTTCCCCCACCCCACGAGCGCCGCGCAAGGGCCTCACCTGCACACGCCTCGGATGCACGGTTCCAGCCAGATGCGGTAGGCGGTCTCGATGTGCTCCTGCGACACCTCCTCGGGCCGCACCGTCTCCGCCCAGCGCCAGGCCGCCTTCTCCAGCTGCAGCCGCGGAGCCATGGCCTTGGACGAAAGGGTGCTAGTCGAGCCGAGCGGCCACTGGCGCCGCCACCGCCTCCGTCCCCGCCCAAACGGGCTCCGGCACCTGCCAAGCCAAGACGATCGAGCGCTTCCCTCAGCCAGCCGACCAGTCAATCACCTGTGCGCTCCACGGCCACGGCGCCAGCCCGCGCCCAACCCGTACGACCGGCCGCAAAGCGCCGCCGACACCCGACAGCCCCCGCGGCCGCGGACGTTGGAGGCGTACTCCCTGCCGAGGCGGGCGCCTGGGTGTTCCCAGCAGCCCCTGCGCCTTCCGCGCCTCTAGCCGGACGAGCGGAAGAAAGGAAAGCAAAGCGGCCGCCCAAGGCCGCTCTGCCACGTCATCCCCGCCGCGGCGAGAAGCCGGCGCCTGATGGGCGGCCGGCAGTGTCCTTGCTCCCGGTATTGCCCCTGTAACTGTGACAGTCAAGTTGAGAGATTACTCAACGCACACCATAAGGCCGCCTGGACTTCGGGTTGGGGCCTGCCAACTTGTAGAAACCCGGTCGGCTCCCAGGAGGCAGATTTAAGTTGAGCTTAAGCGGGTTCCGACTCCTTTCCCGGGACCTCCTAATGTCATGAGGCGTTAAGGGTTTTGCTGGCCCTAGAACGGGACCACGTGTCCCAGCATGCACCGCCTTCTGCTGCTCGCTGAGTGTGTGACATGCTGGGATCTGTAGTCTTAGAGGTTGGGCGGGGCAGTCGGTGAGTTGCCTATAGGGGTTGCGGGGGGTGGTCGTTAGGTTCTGGGGCTAATTAATCTTCTTTGCTGTAGGCTGTCTCCTGATTTGCAGTTCTACAGTTTGACTTAATTCTTTTGCTGGGTACCTCCCTAGCTCCTCCGGGTTGTAAAAACATTTCCTTTTCCCAACTTCTGCCCCAGGACATTAACACAATGTTTTGCCTAGGGAAAAGGGCTCCTTTTGGAAGATTATTTGAGGACTTTAAATTTGAATGAGAGCCCTGGGGGGATCTAAACGCTGATTTCTATCTGAAGTGCTTGCAGCTGAGTAATCTTGAACTGAACTAATTTACTGAATGCATTAGGAAAATAAGATTTGGTCCTTGAGGTTGAAGTTGAGTCGGGGCTTGAGAAGCAAAAACACAAAGATCTTCCGCAGGCTTGGTTGGGAGGCAGCCACTGCTACATAACCTGACCTTGTCCACACACATACCTCCCCTGCCTTAGAGCTGGGGAGTTGGAGAACTTGAAAAAAGACTTTCCAAGCTGGGCATGGTGGCACTTGCCTGTAATCCTAGCACTAGAGAGGCAGGCGGATCCCTGTGAGTTCAAGGCCAGCCTGGTCTACATAGCAAGTTCAAGCCAGCTGGGACTACAAGGAAACCCTGTCTCAAAAAGACTAAAAGAAAAAGACTTCCCTGAAGAACATTTGGCCAAGGAGCCAAGCATTCTGAGCCTGTTTGCTTATAGGGCTGGAGAGATGGCTCACCTCTGGCTTCTGTGGGCACCTGCACTCATGGGCACATACCCACACATAGACATATACACATCACTTAAAATTATAAAAATAATTTTCATATAAATATTTTTTTGATCTTTTTGAGGTAGACCAGCCTGGCCTTGAATTCACAGAGATCTGCCTGCCTCTGCCTTCTGAGTGCTGGGATCAAAGGCGTCCACCACCATGCCAGGCCTATAAATATTTCTTATAAATTTTATTTTATTTTTATTTATTTATTTATTTATTTTGGTCTTTTTGAGACAGGGTCTCCCTGTAGCCCCAGCTGTCCTGGAACTTACTATGTAGACCAGGCTGGCCTTGAACTCAGAGATCCACCTGCCTCTGCCTCCCAAGTGCTGGGATTAAAGGTGGGCGCTACCACGCCTGGCTATAAGTTTTATGTGTATGAATGTTTTGCCTACATGTAGATAAGTGCTGCAGTCATGTTGTGCAATGCCCAGCAGAAGCCAGAAGAGTGTTGGATGCCCTGGAACTGGAGTTATAGACAGTTGTTAGCTGCCATGTGGGTGCTGGGAATCAAACTTGGGTCCTCTGGAAGAACAGCAACTGTTCTTAACTGCTGGACCATCTCTCCAGCCCCATGAAATAAATGTGTTGTTTTGTTTTGTTTTGTTTTGTTTTGTGTTTGTTTGTTTGTTTGTTTGGTCTTTTTGAGACAGGGTCTCCCTGTTTCAAAAAGACAAAAGAGAGAGAGAAGAGAGAGAGAGAGAGAGAGAGAGAGAGAGAGAGAGAGAGAAGAAAGATAAAAGAAAGTGGAGAAGGAGGAGACTTTGCAGAATAGCAAACAGGTGTGGTTGAGCCTGGGCTACATTCTAGACCCTGTCTCAAAAAGAAAGACTAGTTATAAAGACCTGAACTGGGGCAATGTAATAGATAAATAATGAGGAAACAAAGTTGACAGGTATTTAAGACAAAATTGCCGCAATTTGATGTTGATCTGACCAGTATTGGTTCACTTTTCTCTTAAGTGACCTTCAGGTCTAAGTCCTAGCCGGTTTCTCTTGCTCTCAGCTATCTCCCCATCTTCCTTTGCTTCACTGAGCACATGATAGAATTGTGAACATCACTGTGCTGTTAGATACTATAAGCTGGTTTCTCTAACGTGTAATTAAGTACCTAGACTACAGAAGGAGAAGGTTGAGAAGGGAAGGACGAGGGGGAGTTGGGAGCCGGGGAGTAAATGGTGGGTGTGATCGAAACACATTATGTACATGTATGAAACTCAAAGAATAAATAAAAATATTCTATTAACAGGCAGCCACTGGCTTTCAGTCTCCACTGGTAGCCCAGCCTCATCAGCATATGAATGTGCTGTGATCTCTCATTCCAGGTACTGTCTCATCTCCCTATTTTCTGTAAAATAAAACTACTGTAAAGATTTCTCCATTTTCCACTTCCCTTCCAATTCCTCCATAAACCTGTTCCAAGTCAGATTTTTGCCTATCATGCAAAAACCACTGTCAGAAGACAAAAGCTGGGCTGGAGGGTGGCTCAGGGGTTAAGAATATTTGCTGTTCTCCAGAGGACCCAGGTTCTACTTCCAGCACTCATACCCTGGGACTGGAGTTACAGACAGTTGTTAGCTGCCATGTGGGTGCTGAGATTCGAGCCTGGGTCTTCTGCAAGAACAGTCAGTGTTCTTAACCACTCAGCCATCTCTCCAGCCCCCACCAAAGAAAATGTAAGTTGCTTTCAACCATGGTTTATTCACAGCAGCAAGGAGCAACTGATACAAAGTGGATTGGTGGTTTCAAAGTTACATTCAAAGTTAGTTTCAAGGCAGGACAAACAGAACAACAGAAAAATGACTGGTTAACACTGGTTTGTTTCATTTGTTCTTTTTATAGGGATCAATGCAGAGAACTTTATTACCATGACAATTAAGATTAGCCTGATTGAAAAATATTAGTTCCATGAAGGTCAGATAATGACTTAGTTTGCTTTGGTGGAACTTGAGCATGAGGGCTTCTCTTTCGTGTTTGGTCTGATCTGCTAGGACATATTATAGCTTAGCCAATGAGTTCCTGTCATTTTTTTAAATACCACTCATAGGAAGGTTGCTAATGGGCTCCACATTATAAAATGCAATGGTAAGCTCACACTATTTTACTAGATCTGCCAGCAACATTCGACCCAGTTACTTTCTTGAAAATCATCTTCCTTAAGGTGGCGGCACATGCCTTTTAATCCCAGCACTTGGAAGGCAGAGGCAGGTGGATCTCTGAGCTCAAGGCTAGCCTGGTCTACATAGGGAGCTCCAGGCCTACTGAGGCTACAAGGTGGCCCTGTCTCAAAAGGACAAAAAAAGAAAATTTTTTTTTCAGGGCTTACTATGTAGCCCCAAATATTCTGGAACTCTCTACGTAGACCAGGCTGGCCTGAACCTCACTGAGATACACCTGCTTCTTTCTCCTGAGGGCTGGATTTAAAGGAATTGAAGGTATGAATCATCATACCCAGCTCTAGAGCTTTTTTTTTTTTTTAAAGACATTTCACACCATAGCTCAGGTTAGGTGGGCATGGTGGCTCATGTTTGTAATCCCAGAATTTGGGAGATGAAGGGAGGATGATCAGGAATTCAAGGCCGGCCTTAGCTGCTTGACACCCTATCCCAAAACACAAAACAAAAACAGCATAAAGAACAGTTTGCATGGCATGTAGCTCAGTAGAATGCTTGCCTAGCAGGCAAGAGGACCCAAGTTAGACCCCTCACACCATATACAAAGTATTAAGGTTCAGATAGCCCCGCCCCCTCACCAACAGGATCTCAAGGACTTCTCATGCTCCTGAGAAAAGGGAACCCAGCTGATAAGCACCTTGGTCTTTGAAGTCAAGAGAAGCAGACTTTTCTCTACTGTTTGGCTATCTGAACCTTAAAGCATATGTGGGCATCCCTGAAATTCCAGCACTCTGGAGGTAGAGGCAGAAGGATCAAAAGTTTACATTCATCCTCAGCTACATTTGGAGTTCAAGACTTATCTTGGCTACAGGAGGCTGACTAAAAGAAAAAGGTGGCTGAGCTGGGCATGGTGGCACATGCCTTTGATCCCAGCACTCAGGAGGCAGAGGCAGAGGCAGAGGCAGGTGGATCTCTGAGTTCTAGGCCAGCCTGGTCTACATTGTGAGTTCCAGACCATCTGGGGTGCAGGGAGACCCTTGTCTCAAAAAGACCAAAAGAAAAAAAAAAAGCTAATATAGCTCAGTGGTGGAAGAGTGCTTGCCTAACATGCACAGTGACCTGAGTTCAAGCCCCAGCACCACAAAAAAGGGAGGAAGGGAGGGAGGAAGGGAGGGAGGGAGGGAGGAAGGGAGGATCAGAAGAGGAAGAGAAGGAAGGAGGGGTGGAGGGAGGGAACAAAAGACCTTAGGGACAGTTTAACCCACAGTTTTGCTATTTTTTGAGAAGATTGTCTACATGTCAGACTTTGTGACCTTACCAGTGTGGGATTACCCCCAAATATCCAAGTGTTTGTGGGTCAAAGATCTGTCTTGTTGGTTACATGGCTGGCCAGTATGTTTGATAAGGTTCCTCACCAAGACAAAAATCTTAGTTGAAATTAAAAAAGAAAAGAAAAACTGGGGTCACAGAAAGTTTCACTAATTTATATTTCAAGTCCTTATGAAAAAATTCTTCAAATAATTAAGAGATCAAACATTTACCCAGGAGAGAATCGGAAAGCTTATTTATTCTTTTTCATGCAGGAGATCCCAGAATAAGCAGCAAAGGCTTCAAGATTTTCTGGGCCCTAAACAGAGGTACAGATAGAGATTAAATAGACATTTTTACATCATCATTTTACAGCTGACATTTGGGCCTTATGTTTCTTTTCATAATGGGCCATGTTATTTCAAGAAAATTCCTTCCTGAGTTCACTGGACAATCATAGCTTTCAAAGTAGATACCCCAGACATAGGTCAGGACATCTGCCATCTTTTGAACTATAGCTAGGCCAGGCTAATTGGGTTAGGAATAGTCAAACAGTCATGGTAGTTTACAAAAATGGATATCATCAACAGAAGTTTAGATTTCTTACATGTTTGATCTATGTTTGATCTACATTTTTCCTGGACTAACTGGACCAGGAATATT